CTGAGCCAGTAGAAAATCGGTAATTGAGCATTATGTTGCTGCTTTAGTGTCTCTGTTTCGTCATCTTCACAAAAAACTCTGTGAAAAACTGTTTCCAAGATGGGAGGAGAGGAAGAATTTGCTTTAGAGGTATTAGCAAGTCAGCATATGGTGGTTGATATGGGAGGGTGTTGCATTTACAATGGTGTTGCTGGTAATGATGTATGGTGACAAATGAGGTCATAGAGTAAGTTCTCCAGAGCTCAGGCACCACAGAGCTACCAAGACGTCAGCAGTAATCCCTCCGTCTTGAAGTAGTAAATGACCTGGTGCTAAATTTAAATATAAATAAAATAATGTGTTCCAAAACAGCTGCTGTCAGGTGCATTAGGATAGGCTTTTTAATAACGAATGAGCAGTATCTTTCCAGCAGACTAGGTACGTGCTATACCGAAAACAAAACAAAACAAAGTCCGTTGCCACTGAGTCGATTCCGACTCACAGTGACCCTGGAGGACAGCGTAGAACTGCCCCATAGGGTTTCCAAAGCATGGCTGGTGGACTTGAACCGCCGACCTTTTGTTAGCAGCCATAGCTCTTCACCGTCGTGCCGCCGAGGCTCCAGATATGTGCCATAACATAAACTTCATGGAAACAGTACAGTCTGTATCTCACATTAACTATTAATGATGTTTTTCATATAAAAGCACGGCAGAGGGATCCATGTACCAACTAGTTTTGGTCACCGTTGAACCCCCATTGACAGAACTGTTCCTGGCCCGTAGGAGGTGGCCAGTAAACCCTTGTTGAGTGAATGAATGAACGAATAAACAAACATCCATCTAAAAGACCATATAAGCAAATTGGAATTAATGGGAAATTGTCTCAGGGACTAAAATTTCTCAAAGATTAGAAACCTTATTTCTCGATACACAAGCACGCGCCCATGAAACGTTTAGCACAAAGTCCCTGTGCCTGGTTGTTTTCATCTTTCAGCTGAACTGTCAGACTGGCCTTTTGGAGTCTTGTTGTTTTCAGATGTCGTTGATAGCCATTCCTTGCCAAAGCCCTCCCTGATCCCTGACTGAGATGGAGTTCATGTAAGAGCTGTAGATCAGGTGGCCTTTACGCCAAGGAAGATTTGACGGTGGCTCCAGCTCTGCCCCTACGTGGCTGTGTGACCTCGATCAAATCAGCTGCCCTCTCTGGGGCTCAGCCTCTTCATCTGTCAGATACGAAGGTTGAGCTGATGATCTGTTGTGTGGATGTCATGGATGTTCATTCGTTCATTCAGCAGGGGTTTGTTGAGAATCTACTGTGTGCTGGGCAAGTTTTGTCGCTGGGGGTCCACCGGGGAGCAAAATCAGACACAGTCTGTCTGCCCTGGTGCTTAGATGCTAGTTGGGGAGAGACAGTCCTTAATGAAACAGCCACACAAACAAATGTATAATCACAGCCCTGGTGAGTACGTGAGGGACTGATGGAGCTTGGGGCAGTGGGAGCTCATGAGAGGGAATTTATTTCGCCCAGGCAGGGAGATCAAAAAGGGCCTGCTGGGTACATGACTGGTAAGGAGCTATAGAACGTGGGTTATGGAAGAGAGGAGTGGATTCTGGAGGCATAGAGGCTCTGGGTTCTAATCCCAGAACAGCTGCTTGACATCTCTCTGCATCTCAAGTTCCTCATCTCTGAACACCGGAAGTAACATCAGGAACCTCCTGTGGTGCTGTGAGGTATCAGAAGGATAACGTCTTTGAGAGTCTCTAGCCCCATGCTGGCAGCTGCCATTTCCATCTCGTGTCTGAGAATAGCTTTGGGCTCGCAGATACACTGTCCTGATCCTAGGTTTTTAGCTGTGGAGAAAGTGAAAATGACTGTCCTAGTTCCCTAGGGCTGCTGTATCCAGATACCACAAAGGGCGTGGCTTTAAAGAACAGAAATTTATTTTCTCACAGTTCAGGAGGCCAGAAGTCCAAATCCTGAGCACCAGCTGTAGGGGAAAGTCCTTCCTTGTCATAACCCCGGGGATTCCTCGGCTCTAGGAGTCTTGGGGGCGCAGTGATTAAGAGCTTGGCTGCTAACCGAAAGGCTGGCAGTTCGAACCTACCAGCTGCTCCTTAGAAAACCTGTGGGGCAGTTCTACCTGTCCTGTAGGGTTGCTGTGGGTTGAAATTGACCTAACGGCAATGGGTTTGTTTGTTTTTGTTTTTTTTTTTTTGACAGTTCCCAGTTCCTCACGTGGACTGTCGGTCACCTAAGTGTCTCCATGTTGTGTCTGTTTTCTCTTTTTATAAGACACCACCCAGAAGGGATCAGGTTTAGGACCCACCCTACTCCTGTGTGGCCTTATTAACATAACAACAGAAAACTCCTGTTTCCAACAGGGTCATATTTACAGGTACAGGGATTAGGATTTTAATGTAACTTTTGGGGGGATACAATCCAATCAATAACAGCTTTGAGGCATCTTTCTAAAAGTCCTAGTTTGCCGTCTGCTCTGGACTGAAGCTTGGCACTTTGATTTATCATAATCGTGGAAGCATGCTTAAACCACTTGACTTTGATACCCCAGGGATGGCCATGCTGCGTGATTAAGTGACACAGGCCCAAGCTTTGAGGGCTGGCGGAGGCTAACATGTCACTGGCCTGTTCCTTCGCCATTTACACATGAGGAAAGGAAGCCGATCACGCAGAAACAAAACTTGAATGAGGACCTCCCTCTCCCCCAGCCCCATGGTACCATATTCTTCTCTGAGGCAACTGGGATAGTTGTAAAGACTAATACAGTTCCTTCTCAAGTTAAAGCTAGGTTAGCTCTCTCCTAACTCCTTAAGGCCTGAGGAGTACTCATTTAATCTTAGGCAAGCAAACACGAGGACAGAAATAACCCATCAATTGTTTAAAATTAATATGGCCAACAATAATAAATAATCAGCACAATCGCTTGAGGTCAGGGTCTTAATTTATTGGAGGCCATTCAGGAATTTGAAACTCTTCTCTAAGTTAATTTTTCACGTCTCATTCAGATCCTCGGGGCTCTTGCTTCCAGAGCAAGGCCATCAGAATTCTCATTGCCTGTGTTATTCTTGTTGACATGCCAGACATCCAGGAAAGCAAGGTCTGTTCTTCATGGATAGGTAGTGACGATTTCTTCTCAAAATACCCAGATTTCAAAGTATTGCAGCCTGTTGAGATTTTGGATAGTTCTCTTCCTTTTCATCCCGTGCTGTCTGAGTTAATGGTTGCACACAACTAAAACATATTCTGGTTAGTTTAAGCAGAAAAGGAATTTCTTGGAAGGATATGGGCTGGTGTGTAGCATAGACAGGAAGGCTGGAGAATTAGCAGGCAGGAAACGAGGGAGATGAGGCTCAGCCGGGCTCTCAACCCCTCCGCAGCCTGCTCAGGTGATCTCAGATGGCCCCACGGCCTGCGTGCAACCCTCAAAATTCATAGGTCTGGGTGGGCGAATCCGCTCGCCACACCTTGGCCACGTGACCACCCTTAGGTCACATGACCACACTTAGATGCCCACATCCTAGTAACCAGGAGGAGAGAGGGAAGGTCTTCTCCCTTCCTGCTGATGTGCCCCTCCCACCTGCCTTGGGATTCCCCTAAGTCAGGAAAGCTATCAGAATGCTGAGGGACCAAATATAACAGCTGTTTATTTCAATCCTACTGTGTTTCATCGCATCTTACCTTAACTGGTTGACCAGTTAAAGATTGGCCACTGATGTAAATTTATTTTGTCCAAAGCTTATATCACATAATAATTATCATCAAGCTCGTGTGCTTCTTCATCACCATCATCATCATCCCTGACCCATTCACTCCTCCACTCTCCTGAAGTACCTTCTCATTCCATCTTCATCACCATCATCATCATCATCAC